TAATTAATGCATAACTTGTAGTCTCAGTATATAATTTAAACAGGTCAGTTATGAAAACAATTCACCCCCCGTACAGTTGTCATGGAAGAGGAAGTTAGTTACAGAGACCAAAACCAGGCTGTAAACATGTTTCTGCTATAAAGTTGGGCATTTTAACATGGGAGTCTATGGGGATCGACTCCCTTTATGAGCCAGCTTGAAGAACTGCAGGTTTTAACACTTCAGCATTGGCTTCATCTCTCACCCTTGGAGGTTGCTGCTTGTATATGATGGATGATGCGTCACTGCTTCCCTTCAGTTTTCTAAGGTGAAGCCAAAACACTGCAAATACAGCAGCTGCCATCTTCCGTTTTTCTAACCAGATTCTGTGCAGTAGCAAACAGAGGTTGAGTGATAGCATCACACCACCAACCGAAGCTGTCAAATCATCTGAAATACAGCCTTTTTTATATCATTAAATAATTTATTGAAAATACATTTACCAGAAAAATGACCACTTGCACACACATCAGCATGATCACCACCTGTTCACAGTAGGTCTCAGTTTGCAGCTAAGTTTAGAGACTGATTTGATGAGAGGAAGATTTAGCATTGTTTACATCTGATTAATATGATCCTTTAAGTTCTGTTTGAACTGGACCCAGAGACATCACAGTGTAACAAAACCTTTCTCTTCATACCAGTAAAGTTTAGTGTCAGTGCTAGTTTTCTTACAAAAGCATCAGTGTTAAAACAAACTCCTCACACAAGACAAACTCATGTAGTGAAGCAGAAGCTAAAACCAGTGAGGAACAAACCAGAACACTATTAAAAACTGACACACACATGATGTTACAGACCTTATAATGAGGGCAGAACAGATCCTCAACAAATAAACACAAACCACATCAAATCAGTCTGTTAGTACAAATTTCACAAACCAAAAGAAAAACAATAATTAATTCCCATTATTTCAGAATCAGCTTTATTGGCCAGGTGTGATGGACACACGAGGAATTTGACTCAGGTACATCGGCTCTCAATGTGCAAACAGTAAACCAGCATAAGGCTGTGTAATATAACAAAATAGCAGTATTAACATCAACAAACAGTGCAAACAATGCAGAATAAGCAGTGTAAACAAACAGTAAACAATGCAGACAACAAATGAATGTTCATTGAAATGAGATAATTAGGGATAAAACAGAGTACTTAAGAACTAGAGACCTGTACAAGTCTGTATAATCTGTACAATGTAAATACAGTATACCAGTGGTGGGCCGTGCATTTGGTACCTGGGCCTTCAGTGGAGACTTACCCGAATTAATTCACCTCTTAATACCACCACTGTACGTCGCAATTATAGAAACCATCAATGCTATACAAAAACACAATATATTAAAGTGTGGCATTACAGAGAGAGAGGTATTTCGTGTATTGAGCGTGAATACCATTTTTACTAAAGCAAGAAACCCAGTTAAGACAACTCCAAAACCTCTACACTACAACCGAAACTGTGATCTCTGCGTTTCAGTTCCATCGTAAGCCCTTTTCTAGTTTTGCTTTGACCAACCAATCAGAGGACGGAAAAATGCTGACATCATTGTGGGCCAGCTAGCTGGCCCTGTGAGGCGAATTTGAAATCTGATTGGTTAAAGAAACAGTCCCATTGCTAATGTAGTTTAAGTTACATGGGCCAGCACTTCTGATTCTGAAGGCCCTGGGCAGATTAGATTGACATGGCAACACATAGAGGCTGAAATCTGATTGG